AGTCATAATTGTACATCTTGATAATCAGACCCCCCCCCCCCCCCCCACACTACTATATACTTTTCTATTTAAATGAAGCAAAATACAAATAATCAAAAATATCAAATCTTAGTTCAAGTCCCTTTTCGTTATTAACCTTTTTATAAGCTACATATTGAGACATTTTTGCAGTTACATGTATGTTATTAATATACGAAAACTAATGTAATTTTGTGTCGCGCGGGCACCGCCACTACGGCGGTGCATTTTTTTTTTTACAGAGTTAGGTTTGTCATTTCAGGATTACCATTAGAAAGCGAGATTGTACGACGGCGTATTAGTGCCATTTTAACAATGTAGAATTTTTTTTAAAATCGTTTGTACGATTTACTAAATCGTTTGTACAATTTAATAAATCGTTTGTACGATTTAATAAATCGTTTGTACGATTTATTAAATTGTACAAACGATTTACTAAATTGTACAAACGATTTAGTAAATCGTACAAACGATTTAATAAATTGTACAAACGATTTACTAAATTGTACAAACGATTTAACAAACAAATTGTACAAACGATTTATTAAATTGTACAAACGATTTACTAAATTGTACAAACGATTTAGTAAATCGTACAAACGATTTAATAAATCGTACAAACGATTTAATAAATTGTACAAACGATTTAATAAATTGTACAAACGATTTAACAAACAAATTGTACAAACGATTTATTAAATTGTACAAACGATTTACTAAATTGTACAAACGATTTATTAAATCGTACAAACGATTTACTAAATCGTACAAACGATTTACTAAATCGTACAAACGATTTACTAAATCGTACAAACGATTTATTAAATCGTACAAACGATTTAATAAATTGTACAAACGATTTATTAAATCGTACAAACGATTTAAAAAAAATTTCTACATTGTTAAAATGGCACTAATACGCCGTCGTAAGATTGGGTTTCTAACAAAATAAGTTTTTTTTTTCTTGAAAGTTGTTTTAATGAAAAATTCTTTTAAAATATACCTCACAAACAGCTGACATGTATTACGTCATTTACGTGACTATACATCTGCCGAGACAAAATCTGCTAAAACATAGACATTATTGATATAAATTATGCTTTACAATACCTCCTAATTGTAAATATTTATAGATATTTAATAGATTTCAGTGACAATAATAATTTCAATTTCAATCCTGTCGCACTTCCTTTGGAAACAATAACTTTTTGGGGCCTTCGCAATGTTTTACGTCATTTGTTCTTGTAGTAACGATAAAATACTTTTCATATTTTTTCGGAAGGAAAAATCGTCACAGACGGAAGTTGATATCTTCAAAATTCAGATCTGATGTGCACCGTTTTCACCAAGGTGACACTGGACTGGACACCCCTCCCCACCTTCCCAGCCCTGATGAATGTCATTTGTATCAATATTTATATCCTATGACATATTTAATGTATTATTTTATGAATAATTTGGTTGAAATTCTTTTAAATCTTAACAATATTATGTCTGATACATTCGTTTTAAAACAGGTGATTTTCAAAAAGCAATTTAATGTCTTATAAATGACTTAATTAATTTCTGAAAAAGTCCTAATCGAGCTAAATACATCGATTGTATGCAGCGGAAGGGGAAAAGCATGTCTCTTTCGAAAAATAATGCACGATTATGCTTGTTTTTGTTTCTTAAATATACAGCGGATTCATATAAGTTAAAACTGCCTTCACTTGTCTGGAAAAATGTTTATTGCTATTTGGAACTGTTAATCTTTATTCAGACACAAATAAATAGTTGATTGCATCATGTTTAATTTAAAATTAAATAGAATTTGCCGAACACACTCACAACTGTAGCCATACAAAATTTTTCAACATAATATTATTTCATTATCTAAATTCCTTGTAGATTACAGTTGCGGATCCAGGAATTTAATAACGGGGGAGGGATGGTATTGAGGACAGGGTGTCTGGAGCTGCGTTGAAGTACCATGGGTGTTGGGGGCACATTCCTTGTAGGGTCCAGGGAACGAACATCTACTATAAAATGTGCCCCCCCCTTTTGATTTAGAAAACCATTCGTCACCTTGCAGGAATTTTAGAATACATTGCCATGGCGGTAAAATAATATTTCGGAATATCTGATACCATACATGTAGATCTACTAAGTTTGTGTTTAATGCTAGTAAAAAAAATTAATTAAATGCTTGTTAATTACAAAATCAAGCAAATTTTTAAAAACCACGGTGGATTGGGGGGGGGAGCGCTCGGCGCAACGGCCCTGGATCAGCCTTTGAAATGCATGTTTAATTTAAACTTTCTTGAAAGCACTGATGTCAACATTCAGCATGATAGATGTATAATCTAAATCATACTTTTAAAAAGCTGCATGATGATTTTCAATAAAACGTTAAAAAAATCTTTTCTTGAACAGTATAGTCAATATCACGTCCAATATACCAGGTATATGAAAGAGACGCTCGTTTTAAAAGAGGTACATGTATAAATGTAAACCTGGGTCGTTTAATTGTTTTTCACTATATATATTGATTGAAAATTTATCATATTATTATTTTATGATGGAGGACTGAAGAATTTGGTTATTCTACATATGCCGGCTCATTGTGACGTCATGTTTTTAATGTATTGCGTCATAAATTTCCATTCAATGTCCCTTGATAAATTATACGAAGAAAAGTTTATGTGGTTTTCATAACATTCAGATACAGATTTAAACAATAAATTTCTGTAAAAGTATAGATTAGATAATAACACATTTAGATTCAGACTTCAACATTTAATTTCTTTAAAAGTATAGATTTTAATGAGGGGGAAATTTCACATCTATCCAAAAACGAAGTATTTTCAACTACAGTTTTTCTTAAAAACGGACGTGGCCGCACTTTTGTGCAGTCATTTTTTCTCTTGCATATTGGAAAACAAAGTATACTTGTTCTTTCTGTGAAGTTTCGCATATGTACTCGGATGCGGCCACATCGAAATTTAGACTTGAAGAGGAGGAAAACGTCAAAAAAAGGTGAATTCCGGAATATTAGACCGGTTTTGAACGTTATATACACAAAAGGTCACGTGAGTTGAGGAAAATTGATACCGATTTTTCACAAAGGGGAACCTTAACAATAAATTGACACAGATCAAAATATGTTATCGTGCGTTTAATTTTTGCCGATTTTACAGGGCCTCCTCGTTATATATACCGTACCCAGTTCTTCCCAATCCCGAGATCCCTGTTTTCAGAGTGAAGAGTACATCAGGACGAGCCACAAAGACACTGCACAGAAATATGCTGCTACCATTTAACCAGATACCAGCATGTGACATTGATGAACCTGTTGTTTATAGGACACCTGTGACAAGGAGGAACAAGAAGCCTAAGAATTCTGATGAACTTCCGGAGTCCGATTCTGAGAGTTCGGATGATGAAGTAACAATTGAAGTGAAATCAAGGATACCCAGAAATAGAGATGAGTTCAGCAAAGAATCATCAGATCAACACAGTGTATCAAGATCTAAAGTTTTTAGTGTATCAGATGGTACTAATCAAAATATTTCTTCATTTCAGAATTCAAGTCCTTCCTTTCAGAGTGTGAGTTCTCCCAGACAGTCAGGTTACACCAGTGAGTCAGACAGCAGTAGTACCAGAGCTTCTGTGAGCGGTCCACATAGTCAGTTTATTTCAGACCAATCACAGTCGCCTTTACCGATTTTGCCGAGACGGTCGACCAGAATGAAAAAATTCCCAGATCGGTATGGGGAATGGATAATGTAAACGGTTTTTTATGATATTGCTTTATGCCGAGAACCGATTTTTATGCTGAAAACTGCTTTTATGCCGAAATGTTTTTATGATGCAGTTTACCCGGGATTTTAATAGATTAAAATAAAAATTTAAAAAAAAAAAAAATATTATAATAATGACCATATTCATTATTCCCCTAATCCTTAAACTCATTGTATATAATAATTTGTGTCTAGTGTTTATGGGATTAGCTCTTAAAAGTTGTAAAACTTTAATGAGGTGTATTGAGGTACGTGTAAATAGTTTCATGACTTGTGTGTCATATGGAGTATGGAGGAATTCATTGGTCAGGTATTCCTACATTGATTGGTACATTTGTATATTATGTGTCTTGTTGATGTTTGAAGTTTGATGGTCATTGATGAGGTTTTAATTTAATTACTTGATTTCATTGTGGTGAGTTGTATCAGGTAAATTGGTTTTTATTTATATTTCATGGTTACTATTATTGTACATACTTCTTTGGAAATGTCAGGAGCCATTTCAACGAAGAGGGGGAGTATGTAACCAGGGTTATGTATTATTTAATGCCTTTAATTACTATACTAGCGCTGCGTATATGTGAGAATGTGGTGTGAAAAACTTTGTGTGAATGAGGTTGTTGTTATTTTTAGACACTAGACGGACAGTCACATGACTTTATCCTATTCACCAAATTCCCGCTTTCACGCACTAACATCGGGCACTCTGAGCCTAGCCGTTGAATTGGTTAGATGTGTACTCTACTCTATAGTCAATAACAGATAGTAATATTTGTAATTCCTGTGTGTGTCCCGGTAAGAATCTATTCTAAAGTAAAGTCTATTATGTTTTAATTATCTGTCTAAATGTCTGTCTATGTGTCGTCTATATGTTGTGTGTAATTGTAATATTTCAGGTTTTTGACGTCTTATTTCAACATTAATAAATATAATATTGAACCTGAACCAGATTGTTAGTTCTGATGTTCTACCACTGGCTACACTGATATACAATTATCTTTTTCCTACTTTTCAGTAACACGATCATTGTCAATTTCCTTATAATAATTTTATTTTTTGAAACCTTACTGATTCAAGTTCTTGCTGTAATAATTAACAATTTACACAATCCACATTTACACTTTATGAATGAATGCATCTAAAATTGAAGTTTAAGTTACGTAGGAGGTTTATCCTCTTGAGAATGAATTACAGACTTACCTCCCTTCATTAATGAGATCATACACAAGAGTATTGAGACTGAACACAATCAGAATGGCTACGAAGATATGGTAAATGGTCTTCACATCTTTTATCCGGAACAAATCTCTGAAATATAAATCGCAATTCAATAACAATTCATTTTAATAATGTCAGAGTCTACTGTATGTTTTTTTCTTAGTACTGCTGTTGTTTACTTAGAAGTTGAATTGATACATTCAAAATGAATGTATCAATCTGCTGGAGACTGTGTTTAGTTATGTTCAATTCAATGGCATTTTTGAAGGAGAAATTGTCTTTTTTCTACCCTAGCATGACAAGATGATGAAAAATTAAATTAATACCGATTAATGCCCTGTTCACATGAAGAGTTTAATTCAAATTAAACATAAGTTACTGTGAATAAGCTTCGCTTAGCATTCACACGGAGAATTTCATGCGAATTAGTTTAATTTGAATTAATTTACTGCTCATTAACTTACTTCACATTAACTCCATGTGAACGCTAAGCGAAGCTAATTTGAATTAAATTTTCATGCATGCGTAAGGCCAGAATTAAGTCAAAGGACACATATTGGTGGTTAAATATAGGTATCTGTGCTATATTTGGTTCAAAAATCAAGGAAAAGTATGTTAATTACTGAATGTATACATGTACCTGTAGCCACTATGATTATTATATCAAATGGATGGCTCTGCAAACATGACATGATTTACAAATAACATCATAATAACCTTACAGAATAGCCTTTTTGCAGAAATAAGATTTTAATTCGCATTAGTTAACCTCGCTTTAGCTGTCGCGTGAACGCAATTTAATTCGCAATAGTTTACTTCGCATTAATTTAAGTAAACTCTCCATGTGAACAGGGCATAAATTTCACAGCTAATTAGCAAATTATACTAGTATCCTGGGTTTGAACAGTTTATGTTTTCTTTATAAACCGCTCTACAGTTTATAAAGTGTAAACTGCCCAAACCCAGATTATACCAGAAGAAATTGAGCCATGATTAGATCTGTCAGCCACGGGTCTGAGTTCTGAAAGCCCATTTTCTTTAGTACTTATACATAATTGATGATTTCAAAAATTTAAACTCAACAAATGCCATGCTTTACATCCTCTATTTAGGGAAGTAATGACGAATTTCCCTTAGTTATATGTTATTGACAGAGATGAAGTTTTGCCTGGTTATTATACATTGGTAATGATAACATTCTCTGTGTAAGAGCAGATCATTCATTACAATCGATAACCAGCTTATGTGAATGGAGATTAATGAGCTGAGTCACATTTATTATTCATTTCCTCATGACCTACAATTGTATTGTAAGTGAAATCACAATGGTCAAATGGTCCTCACTTAAAGTGACGCAGTGTACAATAAAAAGGAAGTGTTCCGATTTATAGAAGGAAATAAACACTTGAAAATTTTTTTAAAATTCTAAGTACAAGCCTCATGTACTTAAATTAGAGAGTCAGGAATGTATTGTCACATCCCTTTGAGGGCAACATACCAAAATATTTGCCCATAGGTCACAGAAAAGCCCACTGGAGTGTTATATTACCTGATGCAAGTTATATAATACATGGGATATTTAGATTATATTTATACATATATATAATGGGACATTTACATGTATGTTATACATTGCAGGGTATACATGTACTTACGTTAACACTGAATTCCTGGGCATAAATTCTTTGTCTGGAAGTTCCCCTCCTTCACGTTTCTTTTTGCTACAATGAACATATAATTTAATGAAAAAACCGGGTATTTAGCATTTACGTGTGAATGATTATTCCTTCACATTATTTCTTGATGGTTGTAAGGCTTTTGGTTAATGTTACAATTCATGTATTTTCAAAGAAATGTAGCTGTATCTATTTGTCTATGAAACTGAAATAAACTATCCCTCCATATCCAAATATAAGAAAACAAAATATAAATATTTTACCTATGTACTAAGTCAAAACATCACTCATATATCAGACAAAATTCCATTAGAGATTGTGTTGTCTTTTAATTAATAACCATACAATTCTAAATAATTAAATTTTTTATCTACATCTAAAATTTGTTTTTAAAAATTGATGGAGCTAAATTATCTTTTTCATTATGATCTACTCACATTTTATTATAACACTGTACTTATTGGTATACATCAAATATTCATTTTTAACATATATCCAGGCCTGTAAACCTGGTACCCTATACATTTACTAATCATTAATAAATTATAAAATTCCTATACAAATATATTTTAAAACAATTTCATACAATCCTTGAACTTTTTTAAATACATATACATGTATGTACAATGACTGTGTTGTGGAACTTGAACATGATGCCTGATAAAATAATGATGAAATAATGACAAAACAATACATGTAGATAAATACAAGACAGCTCTCCTTTGAAATGAGAGTGAATTAAATTCTAAAATAGACACGTCAATATGCAGAGATTAAATGATCAGGCTAATCTCTATTTCAATGATTCACTGATAAAACTGAAAGTAAATAAACCTTCCTATCACTGAAGTATTACCAGCTAGCCCATTAAAACCCAAAGTTTAACACTCTTTAGGATAATAATGATACTCACAAAGGTACAAACTAAAACCTTTGTTAAATGTCAATGAACTCTTGGTTATATAGTGATGTACTTTTCATCTAAATCCTAATCTGGATTAGGAGAAAAATTCTGGCATCCTTACTCAAATAAAATTTATGTACATAAAATAAAATGAAAATTGTACAGATAAAAGCTCTGCGATTTTACTTTAAAATAAAATTGCAGACCTTTCATCTCTCCAATTTTTCATATTGAGTATGAATTAACATTGAAATTATGAAAATATTTCTGATTAAACCCTCCTACCCCTGCTTTTAAACAAGGAATGCCCAAAATTAACAAGACTTTAAGCTGGTAACAACAGGTACAGCTGTAAAGTATTACACAGAGAATGATTATTGTATGTAAGGCTACTCAGGGTTCTCCACATTTGAAAATTTAACCATGGAGGAAGCTGAGCGAAGGCGAAATGTGGCCGAAAACACTAATGCATCTTAGACTTCCTAATCTTCATTAATCAATGATTGGTTTTACAATTTTTTAACTTGCCCACTGCAATACCAAACAATGAAATATAACTAACAATTTTTAAAGTTAAAAAAAATAATAATTAAATTGAAAAGAATTTCTCCTGTATCTTACTTCACAAATGTACCAAAATTTGCCCCAAACTGTAGTAACCTTCTGAAGGAATTTAAAGAAAAAATATTGATACAAGTAGCCGGTAACCATGGCATTAGATTAATAATTATAAGATTTGTTGCCTGTTGTATGAAATGTTTTCAAATTAATTCAATATGACTAAAACTGATGAATGGGTAGTGTTTTTTTAAGTTAACACACAAAAGAACATTTGGACCAGTGTCCTTTTTTCTAAACGTTTTATTTTTCTAGATATTGCATTAATCACCCAGTTTTGTTTACTTCTCCACGTGCCCAGAGCTAAAAATGGTGCCACGCGACGTTTCATAACAACGGGAAGTAACTCTAAAACTAAGACGGCGATTGAGACCCAGACCCTATGCACATTTTATTCATTTAGATAATAAAGTTAAATCTTAAAAAATAGAGCATGGGTAATTGATTAAATAAAGCGGAATATGAAATTTTTACAGAGTATTTTTTTCTGGCACAGAAACTTGAATCGCAAGCATGACGATTATTGTGCTCGTTATACCGTACCGGTATGGTAATCTTTTATAAACCCGTTATATATCTAATCATGCCGTGAACATGTTGAAGTTCCCCAAAATTATTTACATGTGTACGGGATAATTAACTCATCAGCTGATTGACTCTCCATTGATTGTCACGCTTCACAGCATAGTCGCTGATTAACGACATGTTTGTTTAGCACAGTACGCTTTCCTTCGAGGCATGCCAGGTGCACGGCAATCGTAGTATAAACACAATTAACTACTCAAGTCATTAAAAAGAAGTAGGTGTCAGGACTGAAAGGCAATAAAATTTAATCATGGCGGATGCTGATTTTAACCATGGCGCAGCTCGTTTAACCATGGCGCACATAAATTTAACCATGGCGGGTGGCCATGGTAAAACCCCTTGTGGAGAACCCTGGCTACTTGCAATCTGTTGAAAATAGGAATAAAGAATTCAAGCAACTTTAAAGAAGTTTTGTTTTTTACTGTTTAAGGTCAAGATCTGGTATTAATGGAAAATACTACATATATATCTGTACATGTAAAGGTTTCTTAAAATTAATTATTGTCAAAATGAATCTCCAAATGTATTCACTGGATCTTGACCTTAGACCAATACACAAATGATAAACATGAATATAATATTAGTACTTTAATATACATGTAAATATATTTATTTTTATCTAATAGAAGCATGCATGTTAAATTTAATCATGTTAATAGCAATGTCTCTATTAAATCAATCATATTATCATGATTATTATGATTATAGGAGATACAAGTTTTTAACAAATGATTATTATAATTAATGTAATTTATGTTATTCATTAAATGTAGCAATACCAAATGTGGCCGCCACCGACTGCAAAATAAAAAAAAAAGAGGGATCCATGTCTAACAAGTCTAGATTATCACAGTGATGACTCAAAGCAGTTTCTGCATGCATTTAGGTCTGGGGCTTTAAAACAAAGAAATGCTGGTAAAATTAAAGAATTCCCCCAATATTAGAAATTAACATGGCATTGCAAAAAAATAGGGTGTCTGAAAAATTCAAAGTAGTGCTACATACATTACATTTTCATGCCTAGAGTCTGACACACTGCAAAAGCAATGGAAATATTAATGAATTATTCTGAAAGTTTTCTAAGATATACAACTGCATACAAAGTTGAAAGGTATATCGGTGAAAATGCACACAATTCATGATGACCATGCATGCATACATGATGTATCAAGTTCCCATATGAAAATTAAAAATTAATGATTTTTTAACAATTCATTTTTTCCAAACCTGTCATGTATTAACACTCACTTAAATCAGAAACAATTGGGAGTGATATGATTAGGTATCAAATTAATGTAACTCAATCATACTGAAAATTTTACAGAAAAGCACCCCCTATCCCTAAAAACATATCAAAGTACATTTTGGTAATTTATTTCTTGTCTACAAAACTCAAAGATTGAGTTTCATCTAGTTGTGAAGCCAAGAATTCAGTCTGCCACCTTATTTAAGCATGTTAGATTTATTTCTAGAAAATCTTCCTCACACACTTAATGACTTCTGACCAAAATAGATATCTATATATACAGATAAACTACTACTACCATATACTAAAAACAAGTCCCCAATGGAAAATGCTCAGACAGCTTATGAAAAATATTTCAAAATTTAACATACCAATATGTAAATTTGTCTAAGTTTTATGGCCCCCTGGCTAGATATCAAAAGTGAGTTTGTTTAAGTTTTATGGCCCTCAGGCCAGATCAAAAGTGACTTCTTTTAAGTTTTATGGCCCTGTAGCAAGGTCTAACCTTGTGAGTCTGTCTTAGTTTTATGGCCCTGTAGCCAGGTCTTACCTCGGGCGGAGATCTGAGAAGCTGACGTTGTTAGAGAGCCCCTCCTTTCCCTCCATTAACTCCACCTCTTCTATAAACCCGTCCACCAGACTGTCTAGTTCCTGTGTAAAAGCCTGCTGCAGGTCCTGCTTCAGTTGCTGAAATCATAGCATCACATGGTTATATGGTCAGACTCAGACTAGTAAATAGTGTGGAGAGGCATTCTCCTTTTAGAGAAATATAATAATAGAACCAAATCTGGTTCAATTCAATAAAAACATCTACATTTTGCTGAGAAAAATATTTTTTTTTTTTTTTAATACTTAAAGTTATTGATACGTTCAAATCTTTAAAAGAGGAAAAAAATATGAAGTATGCACTTTTTTCATTGGACAATCGTTCAGATAGCCAAAAATTTTTCACCAACCAGATCCAAATTTTACAGGTAAAAACCGACAGGCCAGTGACTTTTGCATAGAATGTTGTATGTACCCATGCTTATGACAGGAATAATGCAATTATCATTTTTATAGCCAGGGTTTTATAAGTTAGTTTTATATAATATACCTGAGCTTGTGACTTTATCTTCTGATAGCCAATTTGTGAGTTCATTTTATTTATCCAAGTTATATCTGAGAAAAAAAAAATTAAGTAAAGAAAAATTAAAGTTCACATGGTAAAACGTTGCCTCTCTCACTTATATACATGTTTTAATTAATGGATTAACCAGCCTAACCATCCACAGTGTCATATTGCCCCATACTCTGGTGATACAGATCGAAATTGTCCGATAACGTCTGAAGATTAAAAATATTAACAGGTAACTTAATACAAAGGACAAAATGGGAAAAATGAGCATTACGCCGACATTGGGAGATAACTCTTAGGAATGTGAAATTCGTCTACACCCCCACCCCCACCCCTACACACAAGCCTGAAGAAAGGCATGTAGAATGATGACCGTAATCTTTAAAGTGTTGCCAATACTTTAAAGAATCTCTTTGTTTTCAAAAGTCTGTGCAATAATAAATATGCAAAACTATCATCATTAGTAAATTATGTGTATACCTGTCACATTATTCACTGATACTATAATCTTATCAGTCTAGACGAACTCCAAAAACAGCGTGAACTCCAAAAAAGAAGTCTTTGGCTCCGTCATGCATTGCGGCAAAATGATGTCCGATGTAAACAAACGATTGATTGTCGTTCGCTTTCTCCACAAATACGACTGAAAAATGGCTGTATTTACTAAACTGTGACTGGATTTTAATTTTTATTGAATAAATAATTGCACTTATTAAATTATTTAGTGGTTATTGACTTATTCATCGCTCCCGTATTCTTGCAAAATAGTGATTTGGGATATACGACATCGGATTCAATAAAGTTGGTAAGAATTAATTTCTTAACTTAATTTATTGTCCCCTTGATTTAGATTTTATGCCGTTCCTACTATAAAGATAAATTTTTCTTCCAAGACACTTATATCGTAATTATTTTATAAAAAAAAAAAAAAAAAAACACACAATTTTCGCGGCGGAGCAGAGATACTAACAGGTTCGTTTTGAGAAGACTTTTTAGCGTTCTTAAGTTCTTAAACTGTTAGATTATAATTCTAAAAATGTTTTCAGGATAATATCTGTTCATTTGTAATAACAAGTAGGTTAATAGCAATGGTGATAACTTACGCTCTCAATTCAGATGTAATACAAGACTATATGATGAAATAATATTATGAATGGGTAAAATTCGGTCAATGTTTAACAGTTACAACATATATTATTCAATTTTACATGTATATTTTTCCCTTTTATCATGCATATATATTTAATTCCCAAACGCTTAATTTTCTTTGTAATTTATCTAACTTGAAAAATGAACTTTTTGCAAATAAAACAAAAATTCTAACAAATACGATCTCTTCAGGAAATGTGGAAACTTGATGGATTCTCAGGTAACTGTCACCTGATCTACTCTTATTTATTATTAAAACCATCAATTCAGTACTTTTTTAGTTATCAGTAAGATGTATTTACAATGTGGTTGCTCATTGCTGCTCTAAACATGCTAAATTCATTTGTACACGATAGACATGAAAGACAGAGGAAATTCGAACAACTGAAAATTCACCAGCGTCCCTTACTTACAAAAAAAACTTCCAAAATCAGTAAAAGTAGTTCTAAAATGACTAACTTAGTCACTGCAAACAAATTATCAATCATAGAGATGTTTTAATAAGATTAAGACCATTTAATTTGTATTCTTTATCCTACTTGTACGAGGTCTGGTTGAAGCTCGAAGTTGGTCAACTTTGACTCAAAATTAAAAACTATTTGCACATAAAATCAAAAATCTAACAAATACGTTTTCTAGAGACATTTATTATAAATCATTTCTAAGAACTTACATTATTGTAAGGTAATCCAATTTTTTTTTGCAAAAGCACTTTTTGTAAGAGCCCATTTTTTCACGACTTTTCATCGTTTTTGATATAACTGCGCATGCGTGGACTCGTTTTTTGGAGTCTTTTCTGGACTGAAATTCTCACTTCCGTTAATGCCGTTTTTGGAGTTCGTCTAGACTGCTTATGTAGGCCTAAATGTGATCAAGAAGCTTTTTTAATCATAAGACCTGTATAGTATGGAATCTGTATAGGGTCATGTATTTACTAGAATACTACATTTAATTAGCCATTCCCTCAACATGTGATTCAAAAATGTTGTCATCATGGTCATTGACCTTTGACTTCAAAACAGTTTCAAACTCAAACAAAAATGGCCTATATAGTCAATAGTGTTATCCATTATTTCAACGATTTGAAAATTATTAATTGAATTAGAACTACTTTTTTTCGGAGATTTTGAATAAATATTATTTAAGAAACATAAGATATCGTAATTCGTGCAATTTATTATTTTCCTTGCTCTAAAATTACGCAATGTGTTTGTTGTCTGTGAATCAAAGTGATGTCTTGTTCAAAATTACAAACCATCTACATTCTCAGCCATTGGGCGGGTGAAACCATTTTCTGTTGGTCTACTGTTGTCTCCCTCACTCATTTTTAATGTTTCTTCAGTCAATTTTCTTCTCAACAATGCTAGGTGAAACTCATCACCGCTTATTTATGATTGGTCCTCACGTGGTGAACCAGGAACCAGTTAAACGGAACGTAATTTTGAAAACCTAATACGGTCGATTAGTTAATTTCCGGATTTCTGAGAATCGAGCCGATTGACCAAAAATGCATGGCCATAGGAACCGTGGAAGAAGGCACACAGGAGAGGAGCATGACCCATAATTCTGCATATAAAATAAATAATCCAATTCATGGATGTTTTTTTTTTCTTGCCTGTCAGAGATTTTTTTTTTTAATATTTGGTAGCCCCCCTCCCTGTTATTAGAATATGGTTGTGTTTTTTTTTTTTCACAGAAACGATCGAGTGCCTGTGGTGCTCCCCTAAAAAAAAGGAAAATATTTTGTTGTACCCCCTCTTTCCAAACTGAAATTACCACTCACGGAATTGAACATGTGTGATCACAGGACATTGGCGTCGGAAGCAAATTAATTGAAAATGGGGGGGCTAAGTGAAAGAAAATTTTTTTTGTACCTCCAAAAAAACCTGACAAGCAAAAAAAAAAAAGGAAATGTTTATCTCTTAAACACGAAAAGAAAAATCCTATTTCGTGGGGGGGGGGGGGGGATGGGGGGGGGGGGGTTGTTTCTAAAAAATTTTATTTAACCAAAAAAAAGCACTTCTCCCAATTTTAAAACTAAGACGTATCTGTGGAAATTACATGTTAAAGAGGGAAAATGATTTAGTTCACTTATTTTTATATACACGTACATGACCTCTATTCCAACAGGTATTCATTAATAATTGTTAATCAGGACAGCAGGATGAGGGTGTCTTTGTTCCTCCTTTTCTGTGACGATATTTTACTATTGGTTGTCACAAAATATGAATTATTTCATTGAAATATATGGATTTGAAAAAGTAACATAAAATCTCTTAAAAGAAAAATTACCTAAATCGATGCTTTGTTTCTAAAACATAAATTAAATATATTTAACCAAAAAAAAGCATTGAAAAAACTTAATTTTAGAATATACATGTTAAAGAGGGAAAATGATTTATTCACTTATTTTTATATACACGTACATGACCTCTATTCCAACAGGTATTCATTAATAATTGTTAATCATTGTTTACATAGCAATCATACGTTTTCATTGTTAATGATTTGTTTACACAAACATTCCACCTATTCCTACATAAAGTCTTACCCTTTCCAACAAAATTTTCAAAAGAGGGAATAGACGTGTATAATAAACCGTTATAATGTATCTGACATTGCATTGGAGCTAAACACACGAGTGCTATATATAATAACCAAAATCACAATCCATTTATGATCGAGTCCATGAACATCATGGGTTTGTGGGGAAACGACAATTATATACTTGTATATATCATATACTTGAATATATAAACCTTAAGTTAAACATGTAAGGAAATATAAATGCAGGTAACAATACAAATTTGCATGTAATATTATTATATAAGGTGGAAGTTTCCTTTAATTCCTTTCGCGGAAATAAACACCACGCCTTACAAAGGGATATTATTGATATTTCCTCTCTCGTTGTTAACAGTGACTTATACCTATATACATGTAACTAGCTAATGTTTTCTCATGCTAATATGTGATTACCAAATCATTCGCGTATCAAGGGTGGTATAAAGGGGGGGGGGGCACTTCAAGAAGGGCGGGCGGGGCTATATATAGTGAATCGTTGTTTTAAGTTTCACAGAAACTCAAAAAATCTTCAGTCTTGAGATACCAGTATCACCCGAAAATGAGAGTTTTACACGCACACAAAATGTATGAATTTATACAGCCCTGACCTTTGACCTTAAATAAATAGGGATCTTCCTTGCATTGGGCCAATGGGAGTTGCTAAAAATTTCATTGCAAAATTCAAAAGCTTCTGGAGATATCGCGCGGAAACGGAAGTGTTACAGAGAAAGAAATGTAGACATGTACAGACAGGCAGACAACTGACAGACAGCTAAACGGACAGACCGAAATTATTACCCCGCACTTTCAGTGACAGCGGATGACAATAAAGTATAAAGCCCTTCTCGTCAAGGAAATGCACACGCATGGTTAAGCTTTTTCTTCAGAAGGAAGGGAAGGAGCTGGAAGTACATGTATACATATTATATAAGAGGGTGTTTGTTGAACATTTATGCATTTGTCTTACACAAGTATAATATATCAATCAAATTGAATGATATTTCTAGATATTGCTGCGATCACAGCTGACGTGAGCTTCTTGGAAAACTAGTATGTTTTCTTGCTCAAATCCAATCACAGATTTTTCTAGTAAAAAGAACCCAAGAACCGCAGTACTCACATATTTAACCGAATATATATATATATATATATATATATATATATATATATATATATATATATATATATATATATATATATGTCCTGATTTGAACAAATATGACTCTACACAAACCGAAAAAAAACCTCCCAAATAAATATGAATGAGAGTGGTCTTGCTGTTCCTGATTCAGATTTTAAAAACATGACTGTATTCCTATGGTAAACTTTGATTGCCTGCATGTCAATCACTTCGCTAAGGAATCATGTTTTGAACAAAAACTTGAATCGACACTTCCTGGCATGTTTTTATATACGTATGACTTTTCATGGTTTTACTGTTCTTGAGAAGATTTTTAAAAGATTTCTTTAATTGTTTTCTTATATAAAACTCATGACTGCCCCCACCCTACCAATGTGGATCATGTCTTGAATAAATCTAAACCTACACTTCCTTAAGAAATGTGCATATACATAATCATTGCTTTGCGGGTCTTCAAAAGATTTTTATTAAGCATATATGTATACATACATGTATATCCTTATATTGAAGTTAGATCGTCCTTTGTTGCCCCAACTATCCATAGCTGTTATGATCTGAACAACTTTTTGAACAAATACATGTATACACCACACAAGGAAGCTCTCATATCACTACTACAAACCAAGGCTGTACTTTCATAAAAAAAAAATTATAAAAAAAAGAAAAAGATTCCAGAATACAAATTAAAATGTCCTTTGTGCCTCCAACCTATCTTTAAGAGGGTATATGTAGGATTAACAAAAAATGAATATACATTTATGTATTCTTATGCTTATAGGCAAGCTCACCGCAGCTTGTTTTTGCTAATTTTGTATAAGTCAAATAAAACACTTTCATAGAGATGAATAATGTCACTTATTAAAATGACGGTATAAATGTGAACAATTTAACAAACAAGAAGAGGATCCCTGAGGAAACTTCGGGAAACTTGTATCTAAATTACATCATGGCTTTGTTATTCTTGAGAAGATAATTTCTTCTCTTATTCAGAGGTATAGGATGAGTTGCGTTCTCCTAGTTTTTGACCTGCATTTCTCAAATGTGCAAGATGAAAATTGATTATGTGAACATTTGACTTATTTAGGTTAAAATGCACGGTAATTGTGAAAACTTATTTATGTCTACATGTCAACATGCAAGATATAATTTTATTATACTTTCATGTTAAATACTAAAATCTGATTGGTATAAACGCAGTTAACAATCCGTTCTATTACCCTCAGCCTTAGCAACACACGTGGCAACGGGTAACACAACGGTAATGCCACATGCGTGGAAATTATGCGCTTACGGTTCACCGTAGAATTCTCAATACGTCAGTTGCACGTTTGAAAGAACCGGAATAAACTTGATGTAAATAAAAGCTTGCGTCTGACTTATGCAACATGCTTGCGAGTGCTAATAACGAAAGTTTCGATGATAAAGGACTCTTAGAGTATCAAATAAACATTAAAGAGGTTAGTAAATCTTTTTCGAAGTAGCGGGGAGTTTGAAAGCTTTCTATAAACGTGAACGTAAAGACAATCAACGATTTTTTTGCAGACATCTTTTAATCAAAAATGACATTCAGTATAATAAAATAAATGGTGCCTGTTTTTGAGGGTGACAGTTGAAACAAAATTATCCGCTTCGGTTGACAATATATATATATATATATATATATATATATATATATATATATATATATATATATATATATATATATATATATATATATATATATATATATATATATGGTATATGTAACATATATGCGAAGCACGAGTGAAAATATAAAAAAAATCCTGTCCCACGAGTGAAATAAATTCCATATTCAATTACAAAACATTTAATTTTCTGTTTATTACATTTTTAAAAATTTCTTTGACTTTTCCTTTGCCTCTTTCTTTTTGTTATACAGTCATGGGCTATACATGACGTCATAGTTGAGCGGTTGAGACACCATAGCTAAGTGAGGTAAAACATTGTAAACATGGATTTAGGCAGCAATACATTGTTGGTAATTTTGGCAGTTTTATTCTCTGAAAGAATAATTTATTTATTTATATCTATCTTATATCAGATCAAGGAAGATTTTTTTTTTACAACACTCTTGGTTATGGGAAGGAAAATCGAGAGTTTTACCTCACTTTTGATAATTGTCACTCTGAAAGGATATCATTTTGATATAATTTCACACTGTGACAGGATATCATTTTTATTCAATGAAAAAATTACAGTATTTCACTGGTAAAAATGTAATAAATGAAGATAACGAATGATATAAAAATCCATTAGACAATACAAAATTGAAGCAGTGGCAAACACGGAACTCCAAAACATTAGAAGTGGGATCAGGTGCTATGAAAGAGTGAGCATCACCTGCCGATCGGTCAACCCGCCATGTGTTCCTTATCATGATTTGTAAACAAAGGAAAAACCCGTCGAAAATTCTTTGTGTATATATTGGCCTAACAATAAAAATGAAAAAAATCATTCAGCATTTATTTAAAGGTCATTTTATCGGCTATAAACCTTACGAAATGATGACTTTAAACGAGACTGCTGATATTCTTGTTTCAGCAACATGTTTGTCTGTAATTAAACTCTTTAACAAATTTTTCATACGTAGAGCATACTCTTGCGTATCGAATCAACTTAGAGATATAAACCCCCGTATGCAGTTGCTGCAGTTGCTGCATACTAGTAAGTAAGAGAAGTAGACGACTACCAAAACCAATTCATCTTCCTTCATTAGAATCAAGAATTTCAATTTTAGAAAAAAGAGACTAGGGAAACAGCTAGACTAATGAGGGAAGTTTTGAAAGTATTACCAATTCCAGATGATGAAAGACAATCCAGACCAACAAACCAATCTGAATAGTACTTACATCAACCTCTGGGTATACATCACCAGAGAGATCTTATAACACATCAGCTTCAGCAGAAAGATCCCAATTAAATAGGCCAATGAGATCAGGCAATGAAATTAGTGCTATTTGTGTGGTGGAATAGGGTAATTTGCTAGAAATCTTTTCCATTTTTTCCGTCCCTGACAATGAGCACACGGCGAGTGTGACCAGTCGGCAGGGGATGGTCACTCCTCCATGATCTCTGATCCCATATCTGATGTTTTAGCGGTCTTTGTTTGCTCTGCTCAAATTTTGTATTAATAAATGGATTTTTGAGCTTGAATACTGTTCGTTATCTCCATATATTTCATCATCGAAGAGTTGCACAATTAAAATTATTAATTAAAACACTTTTTCCGATACTTTATTTCTAATAAAATCATGTAGAATATAAAATACCCTCATTGAATTCAATTTGAAATCATGTGAAAATTTATGAGGATATCCATATTCCATTCATAATTATTTTTGATAAGAGATAGACTTATATGTCTAAATATATCAAATTAGCGTTTTCTGAGAAACTTAAGACAATCTCGATACTAGTACATATCCTATGTCTGATATGAAAAAAAAAATCCATATTCCTGACTGCTTTGATTAATGTTCATTGAAAACGAAAGTATTTTTAAGAATTCATTTTTCGTCTCCTTTAACTTCTGATTATGCCGCGATACCACTTCTTTGATCATACTATAAATATAAAACACCAATTTATAGGAATTTATTTCTTGAGAAATATGTAATTATTAACTAAATCGTAACCTTAAGTATCATTTCACACCAACCCCTTTTATGGATAAAATTCGGACACTTGAGATCAAAAATCATGAAAAAAATGTGTTTATGAAAAGGGTCTGATTGAGCTACATGCATGAATGACTGATGCGGAAACTATTTAACACTGTTTAACCTAACGCGGAAGAATCGTCACTCTTCCTGATAGAACTGATATTTCATGAACTTTTTATAGTCATCGATAAGCATATCTTTTAACATAATGTGATAAAATGAAATCTTTTTTAATTCTGAATTTGTGTCAATTCATTGGACATTTTACTTATTTACTGGCGTACAATATTGATGTTGATAAACCCGTGATTTATGCAGGTGTTGCTGGGGATCAGTTTGGATATTCAGCAGAAATTTTATCAAATAACAACGAAAAACGGTAAGTAAACATGTTTCTGTTTTGTGGACTTAATTAAGACATTAATTGCTGAGCATTAACTATAACATAAACATAGTTATTCAATGTGGAATGAGTTGCAATTTCTTTAGTCTAATTGCCATTTATGTATTTCGTTTAGTATTTTTACAAAGAAACAACAGGCGACTTTTTATGGATGTTTTTGTTTTCTTTTCTTTTAGTGAAAGAAAAGTATTATATCATATCTTTATAAACCTTTAAAAAACATATTTCCTTTCATTCCAAAAATTCAATAGAAAAATTTATTCAAAGTAAAATGAATAGATATGAATAGACAGGGTTTATTTCCCTATTAAAATAAAGATTATATGTTTATTTTACTTAATACTTTAGACATTCATGTTTAGTTGTTAATTCAAATTCAAAGAAATCAAATATTATTTAAATTTGATATATATATAATGCCGGCGTCACCAAGTCTAACTGATGTCTGTATAGGGACTTGATGTAAGTGCAAATTGAACCCACTGAACTTCATTAGATAAGACTCCATTTATAATTAATAGTTTAAAAACCCAATTTAATAATATTAAGGAAAAAATGTACTAGTGCTTTAAAAGCATCGGAAAGACGAAAAAAATACAGAAATTATTATATTTTTTATTTTTAAAAAATCACAATGGTTCAATTGCTTGGTAAATATAAATATATTATATCAATAAAGAACTTATAAATCGAGAGCTCTTTTTTCCGGATAATGGCATTTCTTCCTGTTCATAAAGTTATTTTAGTAAATATATTGAAATGTTCAAATAAAAAAAAAAATCATAGAAAAGTGGATAGTAGCTGAACATCTGTACAAAAAATAATGTACGCAAACGTTCTTTATAGACACAAGTATTAAATTTACGTAGATATCAAGTGTAAATAATCAATTGTTGTGTACATCTTGGAAACAAACACATTACATGCACCTTTTAAAAAAGGCGCCAACGAAAATTTGAGGAATATTGCAACTATATTATAATTTCACTTTGAAATGATTGCGTTTTTCTCCTTTCTGTACGAATATCTACACTTTGTTAGTAATTAAAATGTTATTATCGAAGTTTTAAAAGTTTTCAATTACTATATACGGAAGTAAAGAACAGTATTCAAGCTCAAAATCCTATCTAATGAATACAAATCAGGAGCAGAGCAAACTCGGACCTCAAAAACATTAGAGGTGGGATTAGGTGACATGGAGCAGTGAGCATCCCCTTCGTTCAATCCCGTTGTCTGCTCCTTGTCATGATCGGGAAATAACGAGAAAATTTGTCGACAATTCTATCTTTTGGATCTTCGCACTGTTCTAGTTATAATGCCCTTTTTAAGTTGTTGCATATTTAGAGGAAGCCCTTGTCATCTTTATGACACCTTTAAGGTTTACATCAGATGTAGTCCGTGATGATGGAAGTGTATAAACTATGTACATTGCGCTTGAAAAAAATCTCTGAAAATGCGCTATTTTAGTTATTCCATAATAATAAATTTAACAGATAAAATAGTTTTCTAGGAAATTATATAAACCAGCACGCATGGTACAGATAAATTAGAATGTTCTATCGTTAAAATGAATTGAAACCACATTTTTGTCATACATTTGAATTGAAATATTACATAATATTTTGATTTTTAAAGCAAAACATTAAATAAAACTCAAGATATTAAAAACCAAACTTTTGACTTAAGTCTGTTTACAGTTTATGGTTTTGGGTCTGACGGAATAATCCCAAATCAACTGAGTAAGAAAGCGAAGGTCTTACAATTGGTTTGAAATAAGACAGTCAAAACGAAGCTCAGTTAGGTTTTATGTTCCTACGTAGTCTCAACAAGTTCCTTGTAAATTTATTCATTTTAATTTTCAAACATTATTTTTGCAATTTAGGAGGAATAACTAAATTAATACTTATAATATAAGCTAGAGTTACTTTTATCAAACTACCAGCAATGAGCTCACTAAATGATACTCCGCCTCACTTATGGTTATAATGGCAAAGTCCAAGTTTTGCAATGAGAGACCCGAAATTATAAGTGTCAGATCAAAAAGTAAAATTAGAGGTGCATTATTATCTAATAAAGAGTGTTACAATGAAAGTCTCATATTTTATTCAGTGGTATAGGAGGAGTTGCGGATAAGAGATGAATACCCTTCTCTATTACAATGTATAGAAAAAAAATGGATGTGCCTGTGTTTTGCTCTGTGAAATTCGAATTATGTGTCCGATCAAAAAGTAAAACAGGAGGTGGAGAATGGCACTATGTGACAAAGATTCTATCTCATTAAATTCTATTCAGTGGTAATTAGGAGTTGCGGAAAAGAGATGGGTACTCTAAAGCTACGGATGATCGGACATCCCAATCACAATATATATCCTCCCTCTTTTTTATTGGGGATATAAATACATGTATATCAATTATAAACTTAAAAACGATAATTAAATTAAAATCTCATCATATTTTGTCGGTTTTTTCGTTTGACAGCAATTATTTTTTTTTCTAGAAATGTGTACGTGTATTTTATCGATTCACAACATCATGTTAAATTTAAACGCTATATACATGTATGTAATACGAATTTCGGATATACATGTACTAGTAAGTCCTTGTCTCTTATTCTTACTGAGAAGTACAACAGGCGCGCGCTCTCTCTCTCTCTCTATCTTTTTATTTCTGTCTTCCTTTAATATATATTAAAGTAACAGCTCTCATTATGTTGGTATCTTTTGTAGTATTATTATCGGTGCACCGGAAACAAACCGGAGTGTAGGAGTGATTTATTCCTGTCCAGTAAACGCCACGGAACCTCAAGTAAACGTCACAGACTGCTCACAAATACAACCTCGAAGTAAGCTTCTCAGGATATTTTATATTTATATTATTTAAATATTGTTAGATAATATGTAATCGTTTTAAAAGTACAGCAAGGGATTGGAAACTTGCTAAAACATGGAAGCCTCCCATACCAATCAGACACATATTTTGAATCAACAATCTGATTGTGTATGTTATATTAATGAATCTGGTCATCCAGATGGTATCATATTATAATAAGGAACCTAAGCTCTGGAATTGACCAATGGCAATGTCCCTCTATATATATACCGTATGCTAAAGTTAGCTGTCTTTTTTGCCCAAGAGGCATTGATCTACATTATAATATATATATAAGATATGGAGTACTCCATATGAAACATACGAGGTATTCAAGATCAAAAATTCATAAAACAATACAAAATAGTTGCAGAGCAAACTTAGACCCCCTTCACATCAGAGGTGGGATCTAACTTATGTTAGACCTTATACATGTACTTGTTTTATAAATTTCAATTTCACAATGCTTTATACATGTTATACTTGTAGGTATTTGATTTGTTTTGTTTTGTTTTGTTTTTGCTTTAGTGCCATTTAGTAATGGGAGAAATAGAATACCATGGAAAAAATAACAACTATATAAGCTTTTGCCCCCTCAAAAACGTCTGATGAACACTCTTTTAAGATGATAGTAATCCCCTCCCCCACCTGAAAATGTATGACTGTGCCCCCCCCCCCTCCTTAAACTGGAATTGTTTCCTACTGGCCTGCTAATCTTTAAAAATGTTTACTGGTACTTGAAGTACGGAGTAGATTTACTTTTTCATTTGATAATTTTTTTCTTCCTCTTCCGTCTAAGTTTATCACTGAATATCAGTTGACATCATTTGATAATGGTTGCCCTGCTTAACGTTACTAACAAAAATATTGTTAGAAATTTAATGCTCGTAATGTGTAGGCATTGTAATTTTCAAAAATTAATCTTAATTTTGGCTTTCCTCTGCACTCTATTAATATAGCGATTGAAATGGTTGTAAAATTACAAGCAGATTTTTTATTTTAAAAAAGTCATATTTTGATAAGCTAAAAGATATTTTAGAGCAAAGTAGTTAAAACATTGTCTAAAATCTATATAAAATTATGCATCAGAAATCCATATACTGTAAACCATTATTTCTTACAGTGGTATTAGCACAGAGATTTGGTTCCACAATATATAGACATGCAGAATCCATTGTTGTAAGTAGAATTGTATCATTATATTACTTTGTATTTTCGCTAGCCAAGGGTGACAATCCACACCTCCCCTCTTATTACGTGAAAAGAGAAAAGGAGCGGATCATTACTCTTTGCTAGAGAAGATGATTACTTTGTTACTAAATAACAAATTAAAGTGCCTTCAGCGAACAAAATCGAACATTTTAATTGGGGAATTTAACGCCTACGTAAACAAAATACAGTAAAACTCGTTTAGTACTAAGACAGATAGTGCGAATTCACGGATATAGCGAAGTTATCTTGGATCCCCAGTTATATTTATTAATTGAATTTCTAATAGGTATAGAACGAAATGTCCATTTCCCAAACACGAAAATCCTATTTCGTGTGTGTGTGTGTGTGTGTTGGGGGGGTAATATTAACAAACATTTACAGAAATATACAGAAAAACATTTTAAAATTTGGACAGTACCAATTTTTTTTTCCAAACACCACCACTTTCCCATTTCATTTTTAACCTATACTAATATAGGATGACGTATCTGTGGAAAGTGGGGGGGGGGGGGGTACTAAAAAAAACCTGACAAGAAGATATATTCAATGTCTATACTAAGTGTATATTTTTTTTTCCGAAAAAAAAAGTGTGCAAAGGGGGGGGGGGCTAAACCTACGAAGATATATTCAATGTCTATACTAAGTGTATACTAGTATTTCCCCCCCCCCCCCCCGGGTTCCGACGCCTATGCTATGTATCTGTGTTCAGCCGGTCAATCGAGATGCAATTTTATTGATTGTTTGACAGTTAATTACTGAAATTTATTAATCGATAGTGGCGTATATTTCTATCTGCTGATGTTAAGCATAGTGATAAGTCACAGAGCATTTTAAGTGTGGGTAGTCAAGGAGAAGGTCGCCCCCTCTCGATAGTTATTGGGGGAGGGGTTTAGCTAAGAGCTTTTTTTGAACTCTGAGAAATCTACGATTGTTATCTACAATTTGACAAGCGAAAATAGTTTTGTTAAATCTATTCAATTTAAATCATGATAAGAAGATTATACTTTACAAAATTGAGAACTTATTATTTTTTACTCTGCTTAGAAAATACAGAAACTTCCTTTCTGAATAATTTTAATTCGATCAACAAATCTAATTTCCTACTACATGTAACTAAAAATATATTTCCAGTCGTATTAATTTCATTTCATCCTATTGTTGTCAATGGTTATGAAATTGTCCGATTCAAACTTAATATAACACTTGAGTTTACACTAAAACTGTCAATGTTGCATACTAAAAGTGTGGATTGCTATAAATGCATTTTTTTGCATTTGCAACAAAAAATAAAATGAATAGATTAGAATTATTATCATCTTTCCTCCCCTTATTTCAATTAATATTTTATACCCAGCAATATGCTGTGTAAGATACCTATATGGAAGACACGCCACTGACTGAATAAAAGTGATATACTTTTACAGTGTGAAAGGAAATGAAAGTGATAATATTCTGTCACAGTGTGAAAGGATATCAAAGAGAGAAAAAATAGTTCTGGCCTGTCATAAGATAGAAGTAGTAAGAGTACCTAAACCATCTTGATAAAAAAATAAATCTGCCAATTTTTCCCAGGTGGGTGGCAAAAGTCATTGTCTGGCAATTGATTGTCTCAACTGCTAAACATTGACGTCACAGACTATGATCATGTCACACTGTATTAAGAAAAGGGATATGAAAAGAATTTTTTTTTTTTCAAATTAAAAAATAGAAACTTCATTTTTTTTTGTAGTTGGACAAGGAATTGATATCACTCGTGAGACAGGATATCGATCTATCTCTTTTTTTTTTTTTAATTTTCACCCTTTTTTCACACTCGTGAAAATAAAAAGAAACACCCTATAAAATTCGTAACATAAAATTCATCGTATCCAACTACAAAATGCGCAGTTGTTAGAGCTCCTGCTCTAGAGTCGCGGAGTTCGTAGTCGATCCTCACGTCTAGGGTTCAAATCCACTGCGGTACGTGGAGACCGGTCCTTCGGATGAGAATGTATAAATCGAGGTCCTCTGTTGGCACGATAAATATCTCGCACTGCTCAATGGCCCTGAGTGCCGAGTATAGGTTAAAATTTGAAGCTTTCCACCTGCAATTGTCGGCGTGAAAAATTCTCGAGAGGGACGTTGAACAACAAATAAACAAAGAAATAATGATTTTACTTTAATCTTTTCATCCTCTAGGTATGTTCTCCACTTACGAAAAATTTCCTCGACAATGACGTCACACCAGGAGGATGCGAAATGTTTTTTACAAACATGACTAGGCAAGGAAATTTGGTCATCAGAGCCCAGCAAACAAATAAGAATTTTCCGGAACATGCCGAAGGGATGTTTGGATTTTCTATTATTGCTGAGGTTTGAGTTTGGTGATTGTTGCTCACTTTATAACTTACTGTCGTTTCCAGGTTTCACCCTTATGATTTTATTTTGGCATGGTTTAATTCTAATATATAGCTGATTGTCAAGTACTTGTATTAGAATTTTTAAAGGTAAGTGAACGGAAAAGGAGAATTTGTAGGAGGCAATTTTAAATTGATTAGTTCTGGTAAAAATGTGGTTTATTTTTAATGTATTTTAGAATGAGACGTCATTTGTACTCGGTGGTCCAAACGCCTGCGGAAATGATGGTATAACCTTATAAATTATGAAAGGGAAAACTAAGAGAAAAATAATTCCATACATTCATATTTTAACAAGTAATATTACATTTGCAAGAGTAAAAAACTGTTATTTATATTTTGAAGAAATTTTTGTTATTTATCACATTATGAAAGAGTACGAAAACTTTATTTGATCACAATGAGAAAGAATACACTAATGCTGCAAAACATCAAATTAACCCTCCCTTCATAATGCTGTTTAAAAATATTCTCTCTAGCCTTTTCATAAGATAGTGAATAAACCACCAAGACAGACTAAAACTGACAAAGTTTTTTTCAAACATGTCCCATATGGAAGCAAAAGTTTCTTGAATCTAAAGTGATTTCATATCAGTACATCATCCAAAAAATATCTTGGACTTAAACAAATAACTCTAAAAGACCCACATATGATTGCTTCCCGTTCAATTCAAAGATCAACTGTTGAGTATTATTATCTGTGATGTTTATTATACGACTAAGTGGCAATGAACCAGGCATGAAGATTTTTTCATTCAATTACATATAATATCCTCAATATAAAGATAAGTAGAATAAATCTTTCTATAGCAAAAATTCAGTACCTGTAAATTACTTCCTCGCGTTTACTTCAATATTACAGCATTACATGCCTTATTAATTGACATTTCCTATTTACAGGGGGTCTAGCATTATTTACCGATGTATCAAGGACTGCAGATTATCTGTACAACACCAACTGTTCAAGGTTCTCTGGTGGATATTATTATGGTACGTTATTTTTCGTCTATTTGATTCTATCTCTTATCCTTTCGAACATTTGTAGTTTGGAAAAAATAAGAGATCTTCATGTCATCGCAAAGACGTCCATACGGAGACTTAATTCTATAAATAATCACTACTTGAAAGAAATAAAGTTTGATAAAATTTGGCATCAGAGGAGAAATTGAAAAAGAAAAAGAAAAATGTTGTTGCAAGTGCATGAAATATAACCGAAATAATTCAAATTTCAGACAGATTAATTTGTTATTAGTTGAAATCGATTAAAAACATTACAAATACAATTTAACAATAAAAGGAAATAAGGTTAGTTATGACAAGTATTCTGCGATATTTAAAAAACGTATACCATTACAATTTTTTCTGCGATCATGTGACGTCATCCAGACGATCACACAATGCTTCAAAAAATAAAATTGTATAACTATAAGTATACATATAACAGATTCATACGAAATATTTTGCTAGCATATAATTTTCAAGTAAACTTACACACTGTTTTAGTTCATAAATTTCGCTCAGATAAAAAAATCTGAAATAATATACCCAACGTTTTAGTTTTTATTCATCTTTGTTTTAAACATTTCATATTGTATTAATAATACGAATGGAAAACAACGGAAAGCTCTTAGATAACGTAGTTTTCTTAGCTTCCCTTTCTTTCTATTTAATGTCTGAGTAACCATGTGGACAGACATAAGCACACATTTTTCATTCCATATATATAATCTCCTTTATATGAAATGTATGACTTAAAGATCTGATGCATCTGCATTGCTTTCAGGATATGCCTTAGATGTGATGAAGTACAAAGGAAATAATTTGTTCGTCGTGGGTTCTCCAGGTTTTACCAATAGAGAGGGAGTCCTAGGATTGGTATGTATCCATTTGTTTTACAATGAAATAATGAAGGTAACGAACAGTATTCGAGCTCAAAAGTCCATACTTAAACAATACAAAATAGGAGCAGAGCAAAGACGGACTTATATTGAAAAAAATAAACCAAGGACCTCTAAAACATCAGAAGTGGGATCAGGTGTCATGGAGGATTGAGCATTGTGTGCCGACCAGTATAGTATATATTGTATATATTTAATTATGTATGATGAATATAAAATGGAAACTAATCAAACACATTGAAATGTGCTTTCAATTTTATAATTCATTAAAGTTGAATCTAAATTCCAGTAACATTCTAAAGCATTACAAAATGATTTATTTTTGGCGAGTCTTTTAGAATATCTAAATTCCATATCAATAAATCTTAGATTCAATTGAATTGTTTGTATCTCATAGATGAGAATATTTTTTTTAGATGGAGGTCGTAAAAATTGATACTAAAAGTAGCAAACATGTCTTGCAAACACAGAAAAAAATACCTGGGCATCAGGTAAGGAATTAATGGTGTCATAATATATTCTGACAGACTGTATTGATTCCTAGGACAATATATATGTTTATACATTTATTGCATGATAGTGAGGGAAATATGAAGATTTATTCAGCCAAGAAAAATCATATTCCCCGAGGACTTTGCCTGAGGAGAATATGATATTTCTCGGCTGAATAAGTCTTCGTGTTTTCCGAACATTCATGCAATGAATTGTTTATTATACCGAAGCAAGCAAAACCTTTGAAATAAACATAATCTTTCAAATTCGGCACCGCTCTCATATTCACTCTCATTTTTCACGTAAAGTTACTATAAAACAATTATCACCAATTTTTTGACGTACACCAGGCTATTGTGACGTCTACTACTCACGGGAGTTTTCGTTCAACGAACGAGAACTATATTGCGGGAAAATACAGTAGGTGTTCCTAAGAGGTGGAATATGATGAAAAGTGTGCCGACGGAGTTTTACGGCCCGATCACGCGATAAACTAGTACCAATCAGATAGCGCGTTGTGTAGAATATTTAAAATGAGATATGATAATAGGCTTTCTTTCATAGTTTCCGAAAACTCAAACGGTTGTTACAAAATACGTATTGGCTGGAGTTCTAAAGCAACCTAATAATTCGTCCTGTATTTTGACATGAAAATGTACATGGATTGCATGATGCAAATCAAAAATGTAGAAATAACCAAATAAAAAATAAAATAATAGAAATAGTAAAATTAAATCAATAAAACATAACAAAACATTTTCCCATTTTTTTTTAAACTATAGAGTGGAGGAGGATTTGGACAATCAGTTTGTGTCATTGATGTCAACAATGATGGATTAGATGATATTATTGTTGGAGCACCATCAGAATACCTCCGTGTTACCAGTAAATCCTCTGTTGTTATTGACGTTGGCAGTGTTTATATCTATCTAGGAGATGCTAATGTTCGTATACAACTGATCAATACAATGTAATGTAATTAATATCTCAGAAATTTATTCGCTGACCATTTACATTTTTGACCTGAAATGATGAACTTATATGGCATTTTTTTGTATTTATTATTTTTTTGAAAGTTGGTAATTCAAACTTTTGCATGTACGTTGGCTTTTCTACTTTAATTTTATTAATTCCAGCTTTAAAGTTAACTTTTCTCAATTTAGATTTGGATAAATATACATGTACGTGTAGGGTGGCTTAACACAATGTGTCATGCTTCAAAGACAATGTATCAATTTTTTTTTATATGAAAACACAAATAAAATATTTTTCCGTTCATTATAATATCATACGGTCTCCTGCATGGCTTAGAGGTTAGGGCGTCTTTTGTTGAGTCGCGGAACAAGGAGCTGATAGCAGGATAAAATCTACTGTGGACGTAAAGACCGTTAACACCGAGGTCTTATGTCACAGTAGATGTTGACACGAAAAAGATTCCCTCTATACTCAGTGGGCTTGAGTGCTGGATATAGGTATAAATTCACAGCCTTCCACCGGCAAGTGATCGATGGCGTCTCCATTTAAGAGAATTTAAGAAATTGACATAAAAGTTCTTGAGAGAGACGTAAAACAACAAACAAAAATAAGTACATACTAGTAATTAAATCGCTTTTCCCATTGTGATAAAACATACGTAACACTGCAAAGTATACAAATACAATGTGACCCCCCCCCCCAAAAAAAAAAAATAAATCTTAAATTGTAAAAGCTAAGATTAAAACTGGAAAAGCCAACTTTAAATTTATAATCATCGACTTAAAAAATACTTGGCAGATATAGACTTCCTTGCAGAACACGTATTGAGTATTGAATCTTTAAAAAAGACAACGATGTAAATTTGAAGCGTTTTAAATAGAATTCTCTTCTTTCTGTATAATGATTTTTTTTCAAACAGACTACTATTCTTGACAAAGAGATACGTATAACAGGGGATTCGATAGTATCAGGAAGATTTGGATCTGCAGTGTCTGGAATAGGGAATATCAACGAAGACGATTTCCAAGGTGTGTCACAATGGAATAATTTAAAAAAAAATTGAAAGAGAGATCTACATGAATTTACTGTAAAATCACACGTTTTCGTTGGGTCAATTTTTCGAGGTTTGAGGAAAAACTTTTAATTCGCGGGGTTTCGATTTGGAGAATGAAGAAGTGTTGAGTATTTATGTATGTTAACTTTTACTTTTCGTGGTGAACATAAATTTGAAGATCACCTCATACCTCGAAACAACGAAAATTAACCCACCACGAATATTTAAGATTACACAGTATTTCATTTCTTTATGAAATCAAAATTTAATGAGTTTCTGAGAATTTAGTTAAATCAATAATGTACTGTTTATTAAAAGATCTTGCAGTTGGAGCGCCATTTGAAAACGACATGAGAGGTGCTATTTACATCTTCAATGGACGTAATCTTAAAAATGTGCAGACATGGAAATATTCTCAGAAGATTGAAGGGACAACAATCAATAGTAACCTGAGAGGGTTCGGATTTTACATCTCCCAGACACAGGAAGATATAGATAACAATAAATATAAAGGTGATTTATTATTTCATTTTAATTTCATTTTGTTAAAAATGTTATTTCTCTCAGTAAATGGATATATAGTTTTAAGTGCAGAAGGTTAAGATTTACGAGCAGTAATCAGTCTGAAATCCATAAACAATGAAATTCTGTCAATAAGGCATAAAACGCGGATCACTGGAAATTACAGAGGATCAGGTGCCCGGGAGAATTGAGCACCCCATGTTGCCCAGTCACAATTATCGTGAACACTTTGTATACGTATATAAATCCTGCTCCATAGGAATATACATTCACGTAACGACAAATCAATTTTATAAAACTCCTGAACTCAACAATTTCTAACACTAGTTGCAGGTTTTATTTGACAAAGTCACGAAGCTTAATAATTAGTATCCTAAAGCAAATTTTCTCAATCCTTGTTCCCTTTGCCGTAGCAAAAAACGAATAAAAATAAATCAAAGAGATTTCATAAGTGTATTTCGATAAGTTTGTCGTCTGTCAAGATGATATAAATCTGTCATTATAAAATTTCAAGTAAAAAGCTTATTGAAAAAAACAGAACAGAATCTTTAAATAACAGAATCTCTAATACTAGTAAAAAAATACAACTTTTTTCTGGAAGAATACTAGTATACATTTGAAAACGTTATTGGCTTATCTTTTTGGCTTTTATTCTTCTAATTTGAAAATTTATCAATTTAACATAATTTTATAGATTTTGCTGTTGGCTCGTATAAATCTGGGATGGCTGTCGTGTTAAGATCGCGACCAATCATATCCATAGAACCTAAAATTTCCTTTCTACAAAACCCTGTTCCTTTGAATTCGTCAGAACTGAACTGCTCAAAGGGGAATGACTATCCTTGCTTGGGTGTAGAAGTTTGTTTCAATGTCACAGGGAAAGGAATCCAATCTGGAACTTGTTAGTATTATCTTTTTCTAAACAAGTAATTTAAATGTAAATAATTCATTATTATTTCTTTTATTTTTAAATTCTGTCAGAATTTTTTTTTATAATATAGCTGGGTGGTATTCAGTCTGCATGCTTGAATTAATATCTATATCGATATTTCTTTCTGATTGAACAAGATATAAATTTCACCGTTTGGGGTGACACAACAATGACCAATAAAAGAATAGCTATGGCTGGAAATGAAAGCAGTGTAGATATATCTAATTTCCTGGTATATAGAAATAAATATTCCTGCAAAATCTTACAAGCAGCTGTATCGGTATGTATTCATCAGCATTTTGAAATTATTTTCAATTTAAATTATGTTCTTTCTACCGTATATTTACTTGATTAATTTCTACTAATTCAGTGTTGCCAAAAAAATTAATTTTGAAATTTCGTTTCAGAAAATGGGAACGATTTTCTTTAATGCTATCAATGAACCTTTAGAATTTAAAGTTAATCTATCACTGAGCGGAAGAACCCGTGAATATGAAGTTTTGCCAATTTTGAAAAAGGGTTCCATTACTTCTCACCAAAACAATGTATGTCTTTTGTTTTTTGTTTTATTAAGTATAATGGCATTTGTTTTATATGATACAATAGAATATGATTTATATAAACACTATAATTATAATGTATAAAATTTCTAACTGTGTCATTGATTGCAAAAGTCTGGCATAATATATATGAATACCTTATCATGATTCAAACAAGAATAAAAAACATATTTGGATGTCTTTTCAATTTATTTTAGGTAACGTTTAGAACAGGATGTACACAAAACGAAACATGTCAGCCACAGTTTTTAGGAGACGCTGAAATCAATGATCATAGGGACAATGGAGAATTTGAAACATTCAAAATGGATTTCCTTCTTAGAAACCATGGTGATCCAGCAAGTTCAACCATGATAGAAATTTCGAAAACTAAAAAAGCAATTTATTCTGGTATGGTGGTATCAGCACAATCGGAAAAAGTTGTTTGCAAGGAAACCAACTCTACTCTAGTTACATGCAATGTCACAACTGACCCGTTCTATCCACACATGGTGGTGCAAATTAGTCTAGATTTCAAAATTGATCCACAAAACAATGATGCTACAGGTTATGTAGACTTCAATATCTGGGTGCAATATATTCCTACTGGTCGGATTTCTCCAGGAAGATCTAACAAAACGCACGCCTTACTAAAGCAGCTGGCTGTCGTATCAGTCGGTGGGTATGTACAAGATTATCACTTAAATTAAAAAAACGATAATTTTTTTTTAAATAACAATTGCCTTATCAGATATGGCGATATAGAATTGTTTTCAATCTTAAAAATCATTGAAACAATGCAAATCAGGGGCAGAGCAAACATGGAACTCTGAAACATCAGAGGGGGGTGATGTGTCATGGAGGAGTGAGCACTCTCTGATGACCACACCCGTTGTGTGCTCCTTCTCAAGCATGGAGTAAACAGAAAATCCGTTTATACACTGGCAATTCAGTGTGTAAATAATGATCAAACAAAAATAGTGTGAAAATTGTCGGTATTTCTACATTATAGAATTTACACAATTACATGTATATGATTAAAAGTAAACTGAGTATAAACAGTATTAAAAGTAATAACTGCTGCTGCTGCTTTTTTCAAAACAAGTGTCTACTTTAAAGAGAGTAGTTAAATTCATGTAAATGTCTCGCACATGAAAAAATACATACAATTTATTGAAATAATTATATTAAACATTTCTTTACACTAGGAAAATTTTTGATTAATCTACCTAAATTTTAGGAATTTATAAGCAACCTTTCCAAACTCTAAATTATTTGTAAAAATGAAACATACGTATGAAAAGATTTTCTATCAACACCTGTGACATAAATTGCTTTTTTTAACCTCTGTTCAAACGATGTACATGAACTCATTCTGAAGTGGAAAAGAAGAGTAAAATGTCATTTTTTTTATTAAAAGCATGAAATCAAATCAATTTTCAACAAAACACGAAAATTAATTTGCAGTACGCTTGAAAACATCATAAACACACTCAAATTATTGCTAAAACCGTATTCTACGAAATTATATTTTTTGATATTTTAAAATATCTCTCTCGAGAATTTTTCACTCATACGGAGACGCCATCACTTGCCGTTGGAGAGTTGCAAATTTTTTAACTATTCTCAGCACTCACATCTATTGAGCAGAGAGGGATTTTTTCCATACTGACATCTTCTGCGACATAGCGCCTCGGTTCATAAGGTCTCATCAGAAGGACCGGTCTCCACGTCCCACGGTGGGATTCGAACCCACAATGTTTGGATCAATACCTTACTCTGCGACTCTAGAGCAGGCGATCTTACAACCACGACTAAACTGAATTAAAAAGAAAACAATAAATCGTGAAACATTGATATCAGAAAACCAGTTTTATCAAAACTGCTTCAATTCGCTTTCTAAATTTTTGTTTTACTTTGAAGGGAACCTAGTCAGGACCAAAGGGAAATGGACACAAATTCTGAGATGTTGATTCATAAGGAAACCTTTCGAGTCTATAATAGAGGACCGAGTACAGTGGATGGTCTGATTCTACAGATAGGTGTACCAACCTCTGTTGCTGGTGTACAGATCTTAAGTGTATGTAAAAATATTAAACTTATCAGTTCCCTTCAGTTGAAAACCGGAATGGCTTTCCTCCGCTTCTGTCCGTACGTCTTGCATCCACCTTTGTCACTATCCCTCTGTCTATCTGACCCATCCGTTTCCGTAAATTTATCGATACGCTTCCAGATATTGAGCTGATTTGAGTTTTAAATCAAACTTGCATTTTGTTTCACTTCAGTAATTTTGATGGATTTAAATTTGTCATTTTAAGTTTTTAATTGGAATCAGGTTAGATTGTCAGCAGTGGATCATTCCTAAAACAATACTCTCAGAGTGGTTTTTTCTTATTGTATACATTTATGCTCTGCTGTTTCCCCTTTATTAATACTTGAACGTTGTAGCTGAATCTACATTAAAAAAGAACGTTTTCTTGACAAAATTAGGGATTTGAATATGTTAATGTTTATCTTTTTCAAAAAAATTGTGACGTAAATAGAGTTCCTTATTTTTCAAAATTTTATACATATACATGTATTGCAGATAATTGGACTAAGAAAGAAACGTATATTATGCAGATTTTAAGGTCATATTGCATTTTAAAAATAGTAAAGAAATATGAAGGTGAGGAACAGTAGTACATGTATAGCTAAAATATTTAAAGAATTTATTAATCAAGGAGCAGAGCAACCACGAATCTCTAAACATAAGAGATAGGATAAGATGCCATGAATAGTAGTCTGTCCACTGGTCATATCCGCTATGTGCTCCTTGTCCAGGTCTGGGAATAGACATTTCCAGAGTTCGCGAACTCGAACTCGTACTCGTACATGGATATAAGGATACTTAGGGGATGCGTATCAAAAGGCAATTTTCATGTTGAATAGATTATCTTATTAACACTCAAAGGTCTACCCAAAAATATGTAAAATAATGACTTTTAACAAGATTGATGAATTCAATTTGATGTTGAATTTGTTTACTGTAGGAACTTAACTACGATAAAAGTACTTGTAATCTCACAACAAATGCTGATCTTTCAACCAAAGACAAAGATGCAAAACCAATGTTTCAACCCGACGCAAAACCTCAAGTGGACAACAAACAAAACAGTTTGTTTATTGTGAGCACGTTACAAGATCTTTTTCAGAAAAAATAAGTATTAAGTTAAAAAAAATGTTTCATGAATTCAACCATTTTGATAATTTCAGAACTGTTCGCAGCGAGATGTAAAGTGCCATCTGCTCCAATGTAAAATAAAGAAACTTTCACGTGACAACTTAAATGATATAATGCTTACTTTGAATCTTACAACAAATATTTTAAACCTGCTTGAGGTGAGATGGAATATATACATAGATTTTTAAAGTTGTCTGACATTGAAAAAAAGAAAAAAAATCATGGAAATAGCATAAATATTGTTGTTTATACATATATGATAATAGTGGCAAATATAAAAACAAAGCTGTTGCCATATCTAAAACTAAATTTATAACATCAATATTGAATGTAAAATAAAAAAAATGAATAAAGAATAAACAAACTGCAAAAATGCAATAATGATACATGTATATTCTTATTTTCCCATGTATAGAAATCCCCGGTTGTTAAATATATAACATCGGGAAAACTTATTTCCAACTATTCAGACTTCGAAGGCGATCTTCAGACCACGGATGGAGAGGTTAGACATGCTCTGTTTATTTATTATTCATATGACCTTTCTTATTATCTTACAGTTTATTTATTTAATAAGAAACTAAGAGTAAGATGTTGAAAAAGTATTTCTATATATTATTGCAAAAAATGAATTGTAATTATTATAATATGTTTTTACAATTATAGAAATAATGGTATTGTGTTACAGATTGTCCTAACAATAATTCCGAAAAAGATTGTCTTTGAAACCAGAAAAATTGATCTCGGAGTTGTCATCGGCGGTAGTGTTGGAGGATTTGTGTTTTTAGTCATTATAGGAATTATCTTATGGAAGGTATACAATTTACTGCGTACATATTGTATTTACGACTTGATCAGTTTTAATTGATATAGAAATACGACAACTTGAAATTGATTCAAACTCAGATCTATGATCGGTGTTCTGGTATCTATGAACTGCCAACGCCTACTATTTCATGGGACTGAATTTTTCATGTCTCATCGGGAAGAAGAATGGTTTTCATTCTATTTGTGTTGTTTCCAAGTTTTTGGGAGATCGGCGACTGTTCAGTATTTTCACTTTTTTAAAAATTCTTTTCAGTTCTTATACTTATTATACTTCTTTAGCTTACAAATGACATTGTAGTATACTGAAGTGACCATTAAATGCCTTTGTCCTCTGATAAAAAAATAATTTATATTGTTATTGTGTTGCTTTACTTGTTAACATATTTGTAACTTTTTAAGTCCGTCCGATTGAACGTCAAATGGTATATATACCTGGTGTCAATGACTTTGGCATGCAAAAGATCGAATTTTTAGTTTTTGAAAAAGAGCAGCATCACTAAAAAAATCACGACCTCCTGTGGAAATATGGCCGATATATTGCCGATTGGGCGTTAAAAAAATGTTCAATCATTCAATCATTGAGTAATAAAATACGGTTCTGTTATCTTTAAGTTACGAGGGTTGATCCAAAAGTAATGTCACAACTTTGATAAAATTGCTAGAAATCGACGTAGAGCAACAAAATTATACATGATGGAAGCTTTATTTATTTCAAATCAGACCTGAAAAATTCAAAGTAATATGATGCACACTTTTCAAAATATCAGATTTTAATCAATGCGCGTTTATGGTAGTCGCCACACCTAAATATAACGTCATATGACGGATACACACCGTCTTCTACTTCGAAGCGTTTCCCCTTCATTTCATTAAAAAGAATTGTGATTCGCAAACACTTTCACCAATTCCACTTTCTTTAAGAATTCTTGGTACCATTATACACTCACTCTTTTCATAATTAAGCCCTCTGTCAATTTTGTTTAACTAGCATAAGACAAACTAAAAAATTCACATATCACTTTATACGTCTGTCTTTTTTGACAACGTCAGACACCATTGCACGTTTCCGTCCGATCTCCTATCTTTCGGTCTTCTTGTCCTTAGCTAATCATTCAGTGACCAATCACCCGCCCAAAATTGCTGAAACCATCTATTAAGATGTTTCTTATTTACATTCTTTATTCTGCAAGTCTGATTGATTAACGAAAATGTCGCTTGTGATGATTCCCATATTTTGAAGCAAAAATGCATTACAACTCGTCGAGTCTTTTTTCACCATTTCGACAATCCCTTTGTTCAATTCAACAGAGTAAAAGAACAATGTTTATGATAACAAATACCAATGCCGTCATTTAATTTTCAATTAAAGGCTAGAAAATGACGAGAATTGTATCTTAAAAAAAATTGGGAGATTAGGTGCTTTTTTTAAAGAATTTTTTTAATGTGTTTGTCTTTTTCATTCTAAGAAAAAATACACTTTAAAACGTGACGTTCCGTTGTGACGCAGCGACACCCCCTATGCTCTATGTTTTAGACATCTGTAAAATAAATTCAAATAGATATTATTAAATTAAGATTTCAATGATAATTAGATTTATATTTGTGCATCTTTTGGTATATAGTATTTGATAATATTACGCCAAATATAGAATATATGGACACTGTGACATTACTTTTGGATCAACCCTCGTATATACAATCATATAAGAATAAAAATCACGTGTTATTATACTCAGTGAAGTTCAAACCATTTCAAGGAATTTTGCTTTAACGTTCATTTCTGCACCTTTTGTCTTTCAGGTTGGATTTTTCAAGCGAAAAAAGAGGGAAAAGGTTGACGAGTTTAAACGAAGAACTGCTTTGCTGAAAAGACAATCAAGGATGTCTAAGCTGTCTCGTGTTGATGGGGCAAAGGATAATCGATTTCAAGAGCGGGAGGACTGAATGATGATTAAATATTATGTGTTTGTCCGTGTATATGTGTGTTTCAAATGATAAGCATATTCGCTTGGCTATACATATATTGTGAGATAATTTTGTGAGTTAAACTAGTGAAAGATGATAAAGTTTGCATGAGCGCAGTATTAGTAAGTTAAATGTATTAACAACGCGAAATGTTATGAAAAGTGATTATTGTATTTTGCATAATAAAATTCTGCATTGAGACCAACGCAGAATGTAATACTGCAACATGTAATGACACAATATTCAGATTATTCCATTTTGCGTTCATACATTTCGCATTGAGATTAACGCAAAAAGCAGTAACACCTATGTACTTTATTTATTGTTGTTTCATTTGTGTTAATTACTTTTTGCGTCGAAGAGTACGCAAAATGTATTTAAATGTTGTAACACATTTTCTTAATGAGAAACATGAATGCTTTGATATCATCATTGAATTCAGAGCACTTGCATGTAGAAGCAGAGTGATTTTCAATACAGTATGAAAATTTTGTGGATAAACTATTTAGATGATATGAAAATTTCTGCATCCAATTTTTATTGAGAACAAGATTTTCTTAAGGTACTCCGATCCTCAGGTTCTAAAAATCAGGCATTGACTAATTGAAAATGCTTGCAAAAGTGTCTCTCATTTCTCAAGTAATTTGTTTTTATCCATATCGATAATTCTTCAAACTCCATCTTTAAAATTAATCATATTTATTATATATCAGGAAAATTATTTTATTTTACGGAAATCTCTCAAATTAATGCGTAAATTTTCAGGAAAAAAGTAGCATATTTTGGGGTATTTAAAAAACGAATAAAAATACTATGTGTAATAATTGATTATTTGTTATATTTCAAACTGTAAATAAATTAGATATAAAATTATTCAATAAACAATCTTTCTACCATAAATAAAAAATATTAATTTAAACTTAAACTCCATTTGATAATTACATTTACTAAACTTAATTCACACACTGCATGGTACTACTTACTTTAGATTTAGAGTTATCTTTTCTTAGTTAGAACTCTTTAGTTCATTCAGAAGTTTTCAGAAAACCAGTTTAATGTCAAGCATAGTTGATTGGCTATTCTTGTTATGCAGAGTTTTTATTGGTAGATCATTGAGGTCAAATTCCTTAGTGAGTTTTTTGTTGTTGTTATTTTCAAATTCACTTTGAATCCGGCCATAAGCCTGAGTTCTGGGAACTCTTGTCTTATACTACAATTATATTGTTGACTGGACTTTAAGACCTGATTACAGTATAAGTTCTTTTCTTTTACTAACACTTTGCTTGGTTGAATGAATGAGTATGAATGAAATATAGTATTTGATGAGTTAAATGAAAAATGTGTAAAATTATAGTAAATGATTAAAATGAATATAAATCTAGAGATTTGTTTTTAAAGTTACACTGATATATGAAATATCTTTTATGATGAGATCTGACCTGAAAGATTATGTAAATATATTGTAAGATTTAGTAAATACAGCAATATGTTGTATGATACAGGTCCAGATATGGTTTAGACAAGTAGCTGTGACACCTATGTATATATGCAGCCTAGGTCCACAAATTGGTATTTATTAATATATTTACTTATTGTAAGAATTGTTAATATTTTAGTAAATTTCATAAATTTACTTGAGTTTTATGTATATGGAGAGATAAGAGTTATTTCCCTTTAATTGTGAAATATGAATAGATATTATGCAAGTTAATAGAAATATCAGTGTAATATAGATTTTTATGGTAATGGAATAATTTATGATAAAATATTATACTTATGTTAATGTTATGAAGTATTTATTATGTTTACATGTTTTGTAGGTTTGATCTATCTTATATATCTTGTCCAAATTAAAGAACCCACATCAACTAAACTGAGTTTCCTCGTTATTTGGAAAACCCGGTTACATATGCATTTTCCAATTCAAATCTGATCAACAAACACAATTTAGAAACAAAATTCATAAGGATCCAGGCTTTTGAAGACATTGTACAATTTTTATACATACACATGTACAGTGTAAATGGTGCTTTAATTTCTTCTAATTACTTCAATCATTTAACGATGCATATTGTTTAAACTAAAGATTTTCCTAACATCATTGCAAAACACCATAATCTTTTCTGATTTTATATCACGTTAATGAACATTGGTTAGATTGATAAAACCCCACTATCTTTAAATATGTAATTTCAAAATACTTTAAAGGGGTAAAAGTTTCGACTTTTTATAGGACCTTTCTGAGAACTTCAAGGAACTTTAAAGCACATTGAGAGGTTTAGATTTAAAATTGTTGCATTAAAAGATTTAATTTTCAAGCTTATTTTGAGACTTTATGAATTAAATTATAAATTAAAGATTTTTTTCCTGGCAGAGGATCGGAGTACCTTAAATTTATTGTGAGATACAATATTATAAAGCATCAAATGATCATATGCTCGGGAAATAATGATTTTATAAAAGTTTACATACATTTGAAATTTTCAAAAAGTTCTGTTTTTCTTCAGATCCACATTTGATTTACACAACTCTTGAATACATTGTTGCACAATGTGTTTGAAGTGTTTTCCTTTACAATATATGATATTTTGCCGAGGATTAAAGATGAGATTAATATGCATAAAACACACATAAAAGAGATGAAAGAAGTACACGACACATTAGCGGTTTCACATATTTTCAATCGCTGTATTTTTCCTATTTGGTCATATTTCGGCAAATGTGATAACAAAAGAAATTCTTTCTTACTTTTTCATATATGAAGTTGAATAAACATTATCAATTTCTGCTTGTAATTAATAAAAAGATTTAAAGGTACGTACATATAATGTAAATTATACAGAATTTTCTTTACAATTACTGATATTTCTTTACATCTAGTTGCCGACTTAGAGTACATATACATACACAGAGTATGGAACACTAATGAGGAGAAACATCACCTTCATATCAATAATTAACCCCAAAAATTGAACGATAAATTTAAAACCTGGAAACTGCAAACCTGCTAAAATTGTCGGTTTTAATTATTGAGATTGGAATGCAAAATATTCGTTAAAGAGAGATTTTTCAATTATATTGTAATAAATAAAATAATCATTGATGATTATAAATGAAGTGAACTTAATGTATACTATGTGACCATCTTTCCATTGAAAAGTAAAGTAGTGCTGTTATAACGTGCAAAATACTGATGCATTTCTTACATTTTGATTACATTCTGCACTCTGAAATTAATTATTGCTTGCTATATTCTTGACCTTTTGTAAACCTATAGGGTTTGAGACAATTATTTTAATCATAAAAATAAGCTAATTAAAATGTACTTATGATAGAGTGCACTGACCTGTAATCCAATAGGGATATGAAAGTGTAAATAAATACTTTTCCGTAAAATAAAACAAACAAGTTAATCGGATTAAGGACAATGTAAAGTACCAGGATGTTTATCTATCTTCGGACATCAATACAGGAATAATAATTGAACATTATGAAAATTTATGTTAATCTTATCACTAACTTTTGCCTAATACAAGGACACTGACCACCAGTTTACAAAAACTTATGTGTAGCTTACAAACTGTTTTGTATAAATTCCAGGATTTAGACCCAATTTATTGTATAACGTGTTTACTTGAATCTGATTTGTTTGTTTTATATGTAAATGAATATTATGCATTGTACATTATAAAAATGACAGTCTAACTTTAAACCTCTAGCTCTTGCTCTCATCTGGGCCACACTTCTCAGAGCGGGGCTCTTCGGAGCAACGTTCTAGGAGGGATCGAGAGACACTATACGATCACGAGCCATTTTAATCGGTGTCCACTGTTCTTAACCACTATACGATCATCATTGGTATTCTCTAATAATTTCACTACTTTTAAATAAACTCTTAGAAAACACCTTTTCCTTGTCATTGGTTCACACTTTTTCAAGAATCTACCTTCATTCGCGGCAAATGAGGATATCATTTTCTATGCCTGTGCTTATTAGGCTGATTGTGATTATCAATTAGGGATGTTGCAAACTCTATTTTTTAGATTATTAAGTTATTGTAGTTTTAATTAATGAACTTGTTTGTATAAAAAGAAAAAAAATACTCAGTAATATGCGGCTGTAAGTATAGTATGCAATAACGAATACATGTATAGACATATATAAACTCTAAGATGCATTCTAAAAGTACAAAGACATGTGCATTATTACACTCGGAGAAAGCTTTAAAACTAGAGGTACTGTGACCAGTAAGCTTACAAAATGAAACCCCCCGACTTCCATATGATTATGATGGCAAAGTCCATGTTTTGCTCTGGGAGACTCGACAAAAGTGCCTGTTAAAAAGATAAAATATGAGGTCCAAAGGGGCACCCTGTTACAAAGAAACAGTCAAAGATTCATTAAATTTCACTCTGCAGTATAACAGGAGTTGCAGATAAGAGATGGGTACCCAAAAGCGTAACAGACGGACAGACGGATATTCCGATTACCATATATGCACTTTCCCACTTTTCAAGCGGGGATTTAATTAAAACAACATTTGAATAAGTTGGACTTGCATCATTTATGGAAAACTATGAAAAGTGATAAGAAAGGATTTACTTGGTGTAATAGAGAAAATTCACCAACAAGTAGAATGACTATATTTTACTTTCAAATACTTTTTTGTTATCGATGTAAAACGATAAGACTCCAAAACATCCCTGGTTCACATTCAAATGGAACTGGAATATCTGATTATAAATGTATAGTTTTCTCTATATTAGTAAATGAAAACAGAGATCCAGGATACTAGAAAATTTAACACATCTTTAATTTTATTATTTTATCATATGTGATTATTTTACAAATGCCACGCAGTGTTAAAGTTTTAAAGGCAGAGTCCCTTTGAAAATTTGTTCACTCATATAGTTACGCCTCAATATCCCATCAAACTCTTCAACAACTGCATCAGGCAGAAAGGCATCGATGAATAAAAGAAATATAATATTTAATTAAAATGCGGAGTAATTTTGAGAATCTTTCTCGACATTGTTTTTGACGTTAAAATGTTGGTTAACCGTGCTCAGTGGTAACAAAACATTTTGCTTCAAAAACTGGCTAACATGTCATTGAGTTTTATTTAATCAAAAAGAATGACACTTCACACTTCCGCAAAAAAAGGTTTTAATTTACGAAAGTGTGTTGAATTATAATCTTGTTATAAAAATATGACGATGAAGAACATTGTCTACGTATTTTTGGAATGACCCTTGTATATGGAACGTCTGGGCTGTCTTATATGAGGATTAAACATTATATGCAGTGTTTCCTTCATTATATGCGGTACTATTTTAATCATATGAAGTAGTTTTTACATTATATCGTGTACAACTTCCATTATATGCAGTACTTCTCTCATTATATGATGTAGATATGTCATTATATTATATATATCTATCATTATATGAAGTGCTTTTAACATTATATGCGGCAGTTCTAACATTATATGCGGTAGATCTAACATTATATGCAGTAAACACTATATATACTGACACGCAAAAGAAACGCAACAAGCAGTAATCTACAAATGTTTGATTTTTTATCTTATGATTTTCAAAAGCGAATAAAGTAAGGCTAAACTCACTTTTCAGAACATCGGAGATTTGATAAAAATGTTAAATGGTTATCTGTTCACTTTACTAAGTAAAATAT